CTGGAAGCTAGGGTCATTTTGGAAAAAAGTGCGGCTCTGCCAGGGAGCGAACACCCGTTGACTCCCGCTGAGACCTAAGGTTAATTATAAACCAATATCCATTCCGGGGCAGATTCCATACTTTCAGGCCGTTAGGCAAGCACCTAGCCAATATTCTTTCGTCACTCTTTCTCTCCCATTCCGTCTCTCTCTCCCTCTCTCTCGCTTTCTCTCTCTCTCTCTCTCTCTCTCTCTCTCTCTCTCTCTCTCTCTCTGATAATCTATATATATATATATATATATATATATATATATATATATATATATATATATATCAATGTTTGTGTGTTTGTTTATGAGCTATAGACTCGGAAACTACTGAACCGATTTAGCTAAAATTTTAAGGATATGTTTGTTTTGATACCGGATGTTCACCCATCATGGTTTGAACTTCAACCTGTCATTGTTAGAGATAGTTTGCGACAATTTAAGCAAAAATATTCCAAACTAATATTTAAATTGTTAGTGACATGATCTAATTATAGCCACGTTAATAATTGCGCATGCGTCGTAGTCAGAACGCAAGACTTTCACCATTCGCCGGCGAGTTACGTGCAGCCAGCGCCTTCTCTAATACATAGAGTAGGTCGTGGTACAGCAAACAAGACTATCTCTATATTTGTGTAGGCAGTGATTGCCACAATAACCATATTAAACACGATTTCTATTTTCTGTTTTTGTTTCAAACAACCTCCGATGGGAGGGAGAGTCGGGGGGAGGGGGTGGCGGGGGGCCTCAAGGACTATCTCGACGTCGGCGCAGACAGTGACTGCGACATTAACTTCATTAACCGTGTTAGACACGTGCGATTTCTAATAGTTTAGTTCTCTTTTCGTTGCTCCGATGAAGTGGCTGCTTGGTCGAATGGTTAGAACACTGGGTTCCTGTGCGGGAGACCAGGGTTTGAATCCGCAGTAGTTAATTTTTTTTACCCCGGAATAAAATAATATCCTCATCTGCTCTGTCGTGGTGACAGCACTAGCCATGTTGCCCTTAATATAAAAAAAAAAAAAAAAAAAAGACATGTAAATGGGTAAACCATTTGATAATTAAATTTGACCATTTCGCATACTTATGATTGCATTTTTAAACTTTCCGATTGCATGGTTATGCTAAAATTTCATAGCTTTCCATTTATTTTCATTTAGATTTAGTTATTTCATCTGCGTTGGAATTTTAGGCTGTGCTGTTTATCATAGCGTTCATTTCCTAAATATTGTTTTTTTTTTTCCCTGTTTTCCTTTGCTTTTCAAGTGTGTTTTTTTTTCCCCAACTACTTCAATGAGGGAAAGAGTTGTCGGTGAATTGGGGGGGGGGGGGGGAGGGGGAGGCAAACTGTTAACTGAGAGAGCTTTAAGTCACACTAACTGCTTTACCAACTTGAAGTAGTAGCAGCAGTAGAAGTTGTGGTTGGGCTGTTACACTGTAGTGCTCTCATGTGAAGATCGCCGGTAAGGTTATGGCGTTCTTCTGTCGGGAAGCGAAATTATACATACTAACTTGACCAGTCTGTGGCGACAGCACTAGCCATGCGGAAAAAAATCTTCTGGCTCACGACTCTCTGTCTACTCCGATAGTAACACAGATAGCAGTGACATTTTTTTAGCTACTGTGGTGGTGGTCGTGGTAGTAGTTGTACTGGTACTTGAAGGATGATGTGGTAAATATTGCACTAGCTCCATTCACTACCTATTACAATTCCAGATCCCCATTTTAGTCCTGATGGACAGGGATGTCAATGTCAGATACAGCAACAACAAAATATCGCCAGGTAATGATTTTTAAATAATTCGAAGAGGGAGAGAGCAGTAGTCGGTGGAAGAGGGGAGGGAGTAATGACTTAAATTTAAGAGAACTTAAAGAGCTTTACACGTGATTTTCAAGTTCTCATTACCTAATTTGTTTATATTTTACTAACGCTACCTCCGCTTTTCTTTTTTTTACGACTTACTTTGTTATTTACAAGTACAGTTGTAGCTTTACTTCCGTCTCCTATAAAAAATACAAACAGCTTTAGCATGTGATAACCAAATAACAATTTTTGTTACTGTGCTAATAACACCATTTAAAAGACCACTAATATAAAGACACAATTATAAGGTGCGTGTTATAAAGTTGGAAAACCAGACTATCTCTATATCTGTGCAGAGAATGATTGCGACATTAACTATATTAGACACGTGCGATTTCCATTGTCTTTCTTCTCCAAAAACCTTTGATGAGGGAGAGAGTAGTAGGTGGATTTAGTTGTGGTGGTGAGGGGGGGGGGGAGGCGGGGATCAAAGACTATCTCTATTTCTGAGCAGACAATTATTGTATTAGACACGTGCGATTTCTTTTTTCTTTCATTTCCATTTAGCCAAACTATGCCACAGCAACGCGTGGCCGGGTACAGCTAGTTGTGAATAAAATTATACTTTCATTAGCTGACTTGTCAGCATAAAAACCTAATTATATGGCAGCGCAGACTAGGTTCTTAGCTTTTTGACCGACAGTAGGTCTATCAGGGATTCTCCAACAGGCGGGCAGACAGTTACAGCAGTGTTCTTCAGCTCCTTTTACACCAGCGGTTCTCAACCTGTATGTCGAGACCATTTTTAGGATAGATTAACCCTTTCACATAGGTCGCCTAAGACCATTTTAAAAGATAGATTCATTGAAGTTATCAATTAGTAGCGAAAAAAATTATGTGTTTGTAGGTCGCCACAGCACGGGGAACTGTATTAAAGGGATGCAACAGTAGGAATTTTAAGAACCACTCTTCTAGAGCATGCGTTATTCTAACTGTGCTAGTGTTTCCTTCTCTTTTGAGTTAACAAAGAAACAGACAATGTATTGGTCGGCATTCATAGAAAGAAGTAGAAATTTTAGAAGGACACAATAGACAACATAAAATTTCAAAACGATAGTTACCGTTGCCAGGAATCGAATCTGTCACCTCCGAGTGGCGTGTGCGCCTGGCTATGGAAACAAGTATACTAAGAACAAGACCAATTATGCACCCCTTTAAAAAAGGCGTCTTGCCTATAGTACAGCTTACAATCCACAACTATTAAACACAGACATAATGAAACTTAAATCATTAAAATGACACCATAGGTAACATAAATTTATATTAACTATGCATCGAATAACAAGCATAACAATAATTACAAACACATCGGACCGTAACGCTGTGTCTAGAATACAATAAACATTTGAAAAAGAGACCTGACTGGTCAGTTCCATTGTTTTAAAATGTGGGCACAACTACAGCATCTAATAAATAATCCAGTCACTTCCTTGTGGGATGCAATTTTTCGTTAATTGAAGCCCCGCTCTGGCTCTTGCCAGGGGCCGCAATATACCCCGACCGTAAATAAGGTCTAATAGCTGAACGCGGTTTCTGGGACCTCTCCACGGTGATCCTCATCAACATGGTGGCACTTTATGTCATCGGGTGTTTATCGCTTGTGTGATGTCCTAGTGGGGTAACAATCTACTACTACTACTACTACTACTACTACTACTACTACTACTACTACTAATACTACTACTACTACTACTACTACTACTACTACTACTACTACTACTACTACTACTACTACTACTACTACTACTACTACTACTACTACTACTACTACTACTACTACTACTACTACAGCAGCTAGTATCTACCTTGTGGAGTTACACTGATGACTGACAGATTAACACAAACTAGTAAATAACTGATATTATGGACTATGGGAACTGCTGCGACTTTGGGCAAACTAAATACGTCCACTACATCTTTTTGCATCATTCTTACATTAAAAGATAGGAAAACACATACTGCTGCTGTTTTCAGTTTTTCAATTAGTTGTTGTAAGGGTACTAGGTGCTTTAATAATATCCTACCCCAAACAGGGGAAATCTACAGGTCACAAGACAGTCTTATATTTCACGGAGTGGTAGATAGGCTGCAGGCAATAGTGGGACCTTGGATGCACTCTCTCGTGGGACCTAGGTGGGTTGGGGTTAGGGCCACTTCTAGATGTTTGGTGTCGTTAAAAGCACCAGAAAGCCGGGAAACCTAATCTTACCAATCTCTAAAATATTGGACTGTTATGTGACGTCATCTGAGGTAGGATATTAATAAAGCACCAGATAGTATCTATGCATTGTGGAACTTTGGGCAGTACGTCTTCAGATGGAAACTGCAGTGGACAACCTAGGAAAAATCACGTTTGGGACAACAAATATGCAGTAAGTACTGTCATCACTTCCTCCGTCATACATCAGCTGTGGTCTTTTGGAACTAAAAGGCTTAGGAGTAGACCTGGTATTTCGGTGGAAAAATGTAGCATCATCCGGGTGTTTTATAAATAGGTATAACTGACTCTGTCCCTGGAGTTAGAAGTGATTGCTCTAACTGTAGCTTTGAAACTTGTGATGGAAACGCAGAAATTTTAGGCCTTTCACCCCCTAAATTAATACCTAATGCTGGAATTGTGTCTGCCATAATAATTCACTATGGGTATATATGGCTTTGAGGACTGTGAAAGCAGTTTTATTGAGTCCATCCCTGTATACGATGTACTTTTGTTGTTGTTTTTGTTGTTTTAAAGCTATTTCCCTGCTGTGATCAGAGGCCCTAGTATAACCTAAACGGTGAACCGGGTTTCTGTGGCCTGTCCCCGAGTGATCCTCATGCGAGTGGTGGTACTTTGTGTCACCAGGTGATTATCGCTGGGTGTGATGTTCGGGTGGGAGTTTTGCTTCAATCAGCAGCTGTATAATCTCAAAATAACAGGACAATGACGTCATCTGAGGGTGATGTAGAAGCAGTCGCACGTGGAATCTGACACTGATGTGGGCGTAACATCGTTCCGGAAACAGCAGTAACAAACTACCGAACGTGAAGATTTCCTGGTCAAACCAAGCAACCGCCACTAAATTCTGTGGTGGGTTTACACAGTCCTGAAACAGAAATGCACCTAACTTTACGAACATCGACATTTAGAAAAGTCACCCACAGATTGTTTCAAGGTCTTTCGGAAGTTTCTACTAATAATGACGAAGATCCAGAATTTCGAAGCGTGGTGGGCATAGCTAACGTACTGTAAAACTAACTGTATCAAACCCTCAGAGTGAGTCACTTCACTAGCTCCCGGCGTTCGAGGCCTAATGAGATAGTACAGTCGTGTCACGTGACTTGGAGCGTTCATTACCACGTAGGACACGGACAGAGCCAGAAGCATTTTGGCCACCCGTATCTGGGCACTGGTTCGCACAAACCCCTGTCTGGAGTCATTGATCGGCCGCAGCTCGCACGCGTCCAGCATGGGGAGACTGCTCAGGCGTTTCTTCCATTTGGATTTGTGGATGATGGAGAGAATGATGGTGATAAGCATGACGGATATGGCGATGAGCGGTACCAGTAAGGTCAATACTGAATCTATGTAGGTCATGACGTGCATCACGGGTAATAATTCGTTTCGTAATCCGCATTTTCCCACGTCACCGGTCAAGAAAGATGGCGTCACTTCCGCTGCTACTGCTGTGACAATGTAGAGTGCTAACGATATCATTAGAATACAAGTGACAACAAGAACAGCTCGTCTTTTCGTGCACATGATCATGAATTGTGATGGATGACACACTGTTATAAAATTTTCCACTGTAATACACACGACGTACCACACGGAGAGAAAGCTGAAGACATATGTGAAGAACACAAATCCTTGACATATCCCATTCACGTGGTTGACTTGGTAGCCAATCGCTTCCATCCATACAAGAAGCAGACCAATCAGAACGCCGGTATCAGAGACCAGTAAGGCGAAGATGTAAATGCTGGATGAGAAGTTCTTGAGTTCTCGTGATGTAAACACAAAACACGAGATGGCGTTAAGGGTTAGTCCAGGGAAAATAATGGCCGGCAGCATGTAGATATGCAGTATGTTACCAAATCTGTGGGGGAAAAAAAAGAAAGCTTATATACAGAATATATCAAATCAATTCATGAACGAACCAATCGATTAATCAAGAATTCAGTCATAACATTTAAGAAATGTTCCCCCTTTCTTATAATAACGTTCGTCAAGAACAAGACTGCGTTAGCGCAGTCGATAAGCGACACCCTTTCAAATCCAGCTGCTACTTGCTGCAGCACAAAATCGGTGTTCGAAACCGGTCGGTTCCCGGAGTTCACCCAGCCTCTAGGAAATGGGTACCAGAGTTCTGGTAAACGGAGGAACGTCGCTGTAGCTACAGAGTTACGTGCGAACGGCGACACAAGCGGACAATTCTTATCAGCTGTCCGTACTGGCGGCAGAGCTCTTTTGTTTATAATCGTGTGCAGTGACGCTGGTTCACTTCTCCCGACTTTACATTTTACCCTTTTTTTTTGTCATTGCATACTGGAATTTTCCATGCATGTTCAGGCATCCACTGCACAGCCAACCCACGGTACGTCAACTGACTTTCCCATAGGAAGATTATTACCTAACTCTTGACCTCAAGGGAGTCGCCGTGGCAGAGCGGCTAGACGCACGCCGCGGATCGGAAGGTCGTGGGTTCGCTCCCTGGCGGAGACGGACTTTTCTTCAAAAATGACCTTGGCTCCCAGGTCGACCCAGCCTTGAGTGGGTACCGAGTGCAATCCCGGGAAGTAGAGGCGACCGGCGTGATGCTGACCACATCACCCATCTTGTGCCGTTGGTCTATAAAAATTTAAGTCTAGCCCTATATGCCCTATACGCCTAAAGGCGTGGAAAGGGTCCTTTACTTTACTTTACTTTACTTGACCTCAAAGACAGAACTATATTGCTTCACCAGGCATTTGCCAAGAAGCCAAGGCAGAGGCTAATAATGCAAGCTACAACCTGGTTACAATTAAGTCAATCTTTCTCCCTGTGTGTTGAGTGTCTACCATGCTGGACGCTTACTCCTGACGGAAGCATTACAAAGCAGATGTAAAATGTAATGGCATTATCATGTAGCAGGTCCTTTGCATAACATCGCTCTCATCGCGGTCTTCTGAAAGAAACAGGAAACGTTTCTGCGTTTTGAGCTCTACTGCTTAAGGTGTAACTCTTATCTCGCGCCCAATCTTCGTGCTGGGAGGTCCCGGAACCTCTTTCTTGGTACCAATTCAAGTGGCGCTTGACATGGCAACGATATTTCAGTTTCCTGGAAAGATGCTGTTTACCAGCCAATCTTTCTTGTTCTGATCATTTAAAATGTCGGTATTTCTTTTCCTCTTAGTCCATTTTTTCATGAGAATCTTTGTGTAGCATTTCATGTCGAAAGCACCTATTTTCTTCCTTAACTCTTTGAGTCCCAGGGGGTTTAGCATCACAGGCCCAGGGTGTAGTAAAGAGAGTCATAAAATCAGCGCATCTTGCGTTCATTGGGCTTCTAGGTAGGAACCTATGAACATATGATGCGTTTCTTGGGACTCAAAGAGTTAATGAAATGCGATATCATTTACAAATAAGTGATAATACATACAAGATAACATACCCACAAGCAGGAGAAGACGTCGTCAACAAAACTACAAGCGCAGTAGAGGAAACGAAGGTAGAAATATCCAAAAAATATATTCATATTGATAACTTAAAGGAGCGCCGAGATATTTGAAATATGGTAATAGAAGACAATAAAAAAAAAAAGTGGCTGAAGACAAAAAGATGTTATACCAGAAAAATTTGAAGGAATTGGCGAAACTATAGAAACAACTCGAGGAATATGAGAATAAAATTCACAAAGGACATTAAAGAAATCACAGGAAGAATAGAGTAACTACAGAAAGAATACACGACATCATATGAAGAATGGAGGAAATTACTAAAAGAATAAAAGATATTCCAGAGAAAAGCATCACAGAAAGAATAAAAGAAACAACGGGAAGAATTAAAAAAAAACATAAAAGTAACAAAAGAAATCACAAATATGATAGAAACAAAAACAGTAAGTAAAAATATTATAGAGAGAATAAATAAAATCACGGGAAACAAAATGAGGATATCATATAAATAATGGAAACAGTCACAGAAAGAACGGAAAAAGGGGGGGGGGGTGGGAGAGAGAGAGATTAACACTAAGGATAACAGAAATCACAGAATCAACAAAAGAAATCCAAGATAGAATACCAGAAGCCTTAGAAAAAAGGAAGAAACCACAAGTTGAAAAAATAATTCGAAGACACCGAAGAGAAGGTACAAGACCATAGCTAAGTTGTCCTGTTATCCTTAGTGTTAATCTCTCCCACTCCCGACCCCCCCCCCCCCCCCCCTTTTTTTTCCGATCTTTCTGTGACTGTTTCCATTATTTATATGATATTAATTTTTTTCACACTGGTTAGTGAGGGTATAGTATTAGACTATTTATCTGATTATTGTTGTCGTTATTATTATTATTATTATTATTATTATTATTATTATTATTATTATTATTATTATTATTATTATTATTATTATTATTATTATTAATTCTATGCTTCTTATTATTTCCCTTTTTCCTTCTATTCTCCCATTTTTTCTTCTGTTTCTTTTGTTCTTTTTTTTTCTTCTTTGTCTTCTCTTTATTATCATCATCTTCTTCTTCTTTTTCTTCTTCCTGCGCCTCTTCCTCCTAATTTTCCTGCCTTTTGTTTGCTCCAGTAGTAGAGCATTTTCCTAAGGCAACCCAGATCTGTAGGTGTACAAAAAATGGGTCTACCATCACGTGATCGATGCCCTGATTACGTTAAACAGAACCGTCATAGCCCATACAATGATTGCTGACGCCTGGATAATTGATGCTGACAGAGGCCCAATAAGAATAAACTCACAGGGAGCAAGTACAGCGGGGATCTACCAGTCTTCAGTAGAAATTATCCTCGTCGACACACGTTTCGGCCCACTATTCCTAGACGTATTCGGAGGTGGGCCCACCTGAGTTCATGACGCTCAGGGCTGGTTCCCCGCTGCACGGAATTACCGGATGGTGTTATACTTTCGGCCAGAGACAAGACGACTTGGTGGTTTCGAAGGAGGTACTGTGAGATAAGAAGCCGCCACGGCAGCGTAATTAAAACAGTCCGCATGCCTGGACGACCGAGCGACAAGCTTATTTTGGTTTACCGGACACATGTTGGACTTTTATTAGCAGTTGGCAGAGGAACACTGGCAGACAATTCGGACACGATGGACTTTCAAAGGAAAGGGATGAGAAACTCCTTTCCGCTAGACACCCGGACCAGCTCACCGAGGCCCGTCCCCTACGTTGTTGCGCTGCGTCCAAAGCCAGCTAGAGGCCCTTTCGGCCACCTCTCCCAGTTTTTTGAGTGTTCGTTTCTGTTCATTACCGCGCAATCCTAGTTCTTTCACCACATTGTAGAGCGAAGTGGAAACGAGGCCTCTCGCTCCCACTTCGACGGCAAAAACCCGCACTGTGTAAGCCTCGTTTCTACTCAAACCGGCTGCTAAATCACTGTACTTTTCGAGCTTGTACAAATGATTCTCCTCCATACGCGACTCAAACGGGACCGTCAACTCAATCAGGATGAGCTGCCGTTTCTGCGCAGAATGGAGAACGATGTCCGGTCGCAGGCCGGTTTTACGGATCAACTCGGGATACCGTTCATGGCCTGGCAGATCAACCGCCAGTAACCAGTCCCTCACAGAGTCTAGCACAGATGGAGCGAATGCGTTTTTGTTGACCTTACCAATTGGAACCTGCCCAGCCTTGGGGAAACGAATGGGGGCGATACTAGAACTGGCTCTGGCATTAGCCCTCATTCTAGCCTGGTCGACAACGGCTGCTAACTCCTTTAGCACCTTGTTGTGGCGCCAGGTATAACGGCCTTGACCTAGAGCTTTCCTGCACGCGGACAGGACGTGCTCAAGAGTTTGCTTCGATTTGCACAACGGGCAAGTCGGATCGTTGGTCGCAGACCATTTAACCATGTTAACACCGGACGGTAATACATCGTACGCCGAACGAACGATAAAGCTCAGTCGCAGCGGGGTCATCCGCCAGATCTCACCACATGTGAGTATTCTTGGCAATGCGCTCTCCAGGCTGACCCAATGGCCCTGCTGCGACTGCTGGGCTGCTTTCTGGACCCGAACCTCGTTTTCGTTGTCCCTCACCGTTTGTATCACAATGTCTCGGCGTTCTTTGGCTGAGGCCTTTGACCACCAATTGACTTTCCCGTGCCCTAGGCCTCGACGGTCGGTTTGTGTGTAACCATTATCTCTCTCAATTTTAGTGCATTCTGAGCAGATTCTATCGCATCGAGGACTCTCCATTTGGTACCAGTCTTTAGAGCGGGCTGGACAGCGATGACGTTTGGGTCTGAAGACTCGCGCAAAAGCATGGCGAGTCTTACCTTGCCGACTTTAAACTCTTCGGTTATCGATTTGAACGGAAGTACCAGCTTAGCCTGCTTACAATACAGAGCCACGTCGGTCAGACAAGGCGGTGCACCAATCCACTTTCTTAAGGCTGTGTTGATTTTCTTTTCCATGGTTTCCACTGCAGTCATCGTCACCTCGTAGACTAGCAGTGGCCATAGAAGCTTTGGAATCAACATGAATTGGAGACACCATACCTTGAATTTTCCGACCAGCCTGCATCGCTCGATCGCGAGCAGGCCTGTAGCCAGTGACTCGTGTATTCGCCGGACCTCCGCTCTATCAGATAACTTCGAATCGTAAACGCGACCGAGACTCTTCACCGGTTCCTCCAGAACCGTAGGGATCTTGTTCCTTGCCACCGTAAAACTGGTTGCCACCACTCGACCTTTATTGATTGACAGACTCCTCGACTTCTGCGGTTTGAACTGCTTACCGCTCCATTGGACCACCGCGTCCAATCTTTTCAGGATCGTGCGGGCAGACTCCTCGCTGCCCGTTATAATAGTCGTGTCATCCATAAAGGCACGTAATGGTGGCATCCA